GGCACTTCTAAGGATGCTACAGTTGTGACCAAAATTATTCAACCCCCACTGAAATTGAGTGTTTTGGCCAGTTTGACATTGCTTTTGATCATTCAGTCATCTTGCTTACATTTACATTAAAGAGGCACTTGTAGGTCAGACAAATATAACATAACAGTTATAATGAAATAACCACAAATGTGTCTTTTCTGTGCTCACAGCATTATCAGTTTTATTCAACCCCCAAGTGACATTCAATCTTAGTACTTAGTACAGCATCCTTTTACAGTTATAACAGCTTTTAAACGTGAAGCATAGCTTGACACAAGTGTCTTGCAGCGATCTACGGGTATCTTCGCCCATTCTTCATGGGCAAAGGCCTCCAGTTCAGTCACATTCTTAGGCTTGCGCACTGCAACTGCTTTCTTTAAGTCCCACCAGAGGTTCTCAATCGGATTTAAGTCTGGTGACTGCGATGGCCACTCCAAAATGTTCCAGCCTTTCCTCTGCAACCATGCTCTAGTGGACTTGGAGGTATGCTTGGGATCATTGTCCTGTTGAAAGGTCCAACGTCTCCCAAGCCTCAGGTGTGTGACGGACTGCATCACGTTTCCATCCAATATCTCCTGGTACTGAAGAGAATTCATGGTACCTTGCACACGCTGAAGCTTCCCTGTACCTGCAGAAGCAAAACAGCCCCAAAGCATGATTGACCCTCCACCATGCTTCACAGTAGGCAAGGTGTTCTTTTCATCATAGGCCTTGTTCTTCCTCCTCCAAACATAGCGTTGATCCATGGGCCCAAACAGTTCTAATTTTGTTTCATCAGTCCACAGAACACTATCCCACAACTTTTGTGGTTTGTCCACATGGCTTTTGGCATACTGCAGTCGACTCTTCTTATTCTTTGGAGACAGCAAGGGGGTACGCCTGGGAGTTCTGGCACGGAGGCCTTCATTACGCAGTGTGCGTCTTATTGTCTGGGCTGAAACTTCTGTACCCACATCTGACAAATCTTTTCTCAGTTCCTCAGCAGTCACACGGGGACTTCTCTCCACTCTACGCTTCAGGTAGCGCACAGCAGTCGAAGTCAGCATCTTCTTTCTGCCACGACCAGGTAGCGTTTCAACAGTGCCCTTTGCCTTGAATTTGCGAATGATGCTTCCTAAGGTGTCTCTTGGTATGTTTAACATCTTTGCAATCTTCTTATAGCCATTGCCCTTCCTGTGAAGAGAAATCACCTCTTCTCTTGTCTTCCTGGACCATTCTCTTGCCTTCACCATGTTTGTAACCACACCAGTAAATGTCTAGAAGGAGCTGAGTATCACAGTCATTTTAAAGCTGCCTAATTGGTGCTTATTATGCTTGATTGCTGCTCGGTGACATCCACAGGTGTTTTCAATACCTGATGGAAAGCACCTGTATGAACCTCTGTTCTTCAGAGTGGTAGTCTTTAAGGGGTTGAATAATTGTGGCAATGAAGAAACCACATAAGAACCATTTACTACTGTATTACATAAACAATTGATGTCATTTTAGTTGCATTTGGGTAGTTACAACGTCCTTGTAGGATTTGATTCTGAATACATCCAAATGTACACTATAGTCCCTAAACCCCTTTACAGCATTGGGGGTTGAATAATTTTGGTCACAACTGTAGTTGCCTGGCTGACTTTGGCTGTCGTGGACCCCAGAATATGCACACTGGTTAAAAAGTCTGCATACTTGTGACAGATCTTCTAACATTATCAGCAGAGGTCAGCAATGTTAGCCTCCAAGTTCACTTAGTGTAGGTTTCCATTCAACTATTGGCAAATAATCCTTTTGTAAAGTTCTGCAAAGTATTTTAAATGATAGAGACAGAATATCAACCAAAAATAAAGAAAAAAATATGATACAGATGTTATAAATTGAGTTGCAGTTCAGTGAGTAAAATAAGTATTTGATCCCCAAGCAAAACATGACTTAAAACTTGGTGGAGAAACCCTTGTTGTCAAGAACAGAGGTAAGTCATTTCTTCTGTCAGGTTTGCACACATCTCAGGAGAGATTTTGGTCCACTCTTCTTTACAGATCTTCTGGAAAGGTTTCTTGGCTGTCGCTAGGCAACTCGAAGTTTCATCTCCCTCCATACATTTTCTACAGGATTATGGTCTGGAGACTAGCTAGGCCACTACATGACCTTAATGTGCTTCTTCTTGAACAACTCGTTTGTTGCCTTGTCAGTATGTTTTTCGTCATTGTCATGCGGGAAGACCCATCCATGGCCCATCTTCAGCGTTCTGGCTGAGGGAAGAAGGTTCTCATCCAAGATTTTACAATATATGGCCTCGTCCATTGCCTCCTCAATGCGGCAAAGTCGGCCTGTACGTTTAGCAGAGAAACAGCCCCAAAGCATGATGTTTCAACCTCCGTGCTTGACTGTAGGGATGGTGTTCTTAGGGTCATAGTCGGCATTTTATTTCGTCTAAACACAGCGAGTTGAGTTAATGCCAAAGAGCTCAATTTTGGTCTCATCTGACCACAGCACTTTCTCCCAATCCTTCTGTGAATCATGTAGATGGTCACTGGCAAACTTCAGATGGGCCTGTACATGTGCCTTCTTGAGGAGGGGGACCTTGCGGGCGCTGCAGGATTTCAATCCTGGGTTACCAATGGTTTGTTTGGTAAGTGTGATCCCAACTGCCTTGAGATCGTTCACAAGCTCCTCCCGTGTAGTTCTGGACTGATCCCTCACTTTTCTCATGATCATCCTTATCCCATGAGGAGAAATCCTGCATGGAGCTACAGATCGAGGGCAATTGATGGTTATTTTGTATTTCTTCCATTTGTGAAAAATTGCTCCAACCGTTGTCTCCTTCTCACCAAGCTTCTTGCTGATGGTCTTGTAGCCCATTTCAGCCTTGTGCAGGTCAACAATCTTGTCCCTGACATCCTTTGACAAATCTCTGGTCTTGCCCTTGACCGTGAGTTTTGAATGGAAGAATGATTCTGTGGACAGGTGTCTTTTATATACATAATGAGTTGTCGTTAGGAGCACTTTCTTAAATTGACAGGACTAATCTGTGTACCACATAGCCAGTCTGTGGGAGCCAGAATTATTGTTGGTTGGTAGGGGATCAAATACTTATTTTACTCACTGAACTGCAACTCAATTTATAACATTTGTATCATGTATTTTTTCAGAATTTTTGGTTGATATTCTGTCTCTATCATTTAAAATGTACCTATGATAAAAAAATTATTGACCCTTAATTTCTTTGTAAGTGGGTAAACTTACAAAATCTGCAGGGGATCAAATAATTATTTTCCCCATTGTATTTTAAGACACAGAACAAAAAAGTTGATGGGCTCTACCTGGTGCTTGTCCAGTTGGCTTCGAAACTACATCAACAGATGAGTGCCTAGATAAGATGTCTCGCACCTGAAACAGAATTTAAGACCATGTTTAATGCTAGCTTTAAATATAGCACATTTTAAGGAGAGCATATATTTTTGTATGGTAAAACTGTTGTGAGAATACTGTAATGCTTAACCTCTTAGTCTTTAAAGGATAAATTCACCTTTTGGAACAAGTTACACACTACACCCATAATTAGGGTATACCATGCTCCAGCAGCCCCTCCTCCCCCCTCCTGTTCTCCACCCCAATGACCACGGGCAGGGGTTCCTCTACCCGCATCTGCTGTCACTTTTCAAAAACAGCATGGCTGTGAAGGGCTCCTCCCACACTAACACCTCATTCATTCACAGTAATCTGTAAATGAACTACAAGTCTGCTGCCACTGCGGCAGATGACTTGTAATTCTTAATGAGCCCTCTCGCATTTCATTCACAAGGCCTGCAACTTTCAAACTGAAAGCCCATATAGAGGTACGCTTGTCTGCAGAAGACCGATATTGCACTGGTAAGCCACTGATTTTATTTTTCATATATTTCTGAAAAAATAAGTGAATTTAACATTTTTTCCCAAAAGGTGAACTTATCCTTTAACCACTTGCCGCTGTATATAAACGGCCGGACGGTGGAAGTCCCGGGGTGGGTTGCCGTACATAAATGGCGCCCGCCATTTTGGACTGTGCGCTCCCTGTGCGAGGTCCCGATCATGTGATCACTGATTGGCCAATCAGTGATCACATGCAGAGTAGTAAGCAAGATGTCACTTCTGACATCATTGCTTACTACGTGTGAAATCTGTGAATGATTACAGAGGTCACATGGTACAAGGATATTCACAACAGCCTTGTACCATGTGTCAAGCTGTGACCAATCATGGCTCACACAGTATTTCTCAATGGCTGCAAGAATGCAGCCAGAGAGAAGGAGAAATGATTGTTTTTACAGCCTTTAAAAGCAATCAATGTAAAAAAAAATCTGCATCACCCCCCACAAGTAGTACAGTGTCACCAAGGTGACACTGTACTGCTAGGGTGACAGTATGTTAAAAAAAAAAAACATAAATAAGAATATAAAAAATAAAATAAAAATGTAAAAAAAATTTTTTTTCAAATTATTAATAATTTTAGGTTATAAAAAATTTGGGTTATTTTTATTTTACTAAAAAGATAACTGAATAAATTTTGCCCAATATTTATGATGAAATATTATTTGTTTGCAAAATTTTATAAGAAAAACACTTTTTTTTCAAACATTTTGGACATTTTCATTTATATAGCAAAAAAAATAAAAATCCCAGTGGTGAATAAACACCACCAAAATAAAGCTTTATCTGTCTCAAAAAAATGTTACAAAATTCACATGGATACAGTGTTGCATGACCGCGCAATTGTCATTCAAAGTGTGATAGCGCTGAAAGCTGAAAATTGGCCTGGACAGGAAGGGGGTGAAAGTGTCCGGACTTGAAGTGGTTAAAGTTAGCTAAAGCGTATATCCAGTAAATACTGTAATCCAGCTCCTGCACTTTTAATCATTACATGGGGAGTGCAGACTCACAGAACTACATTTTGATGAGAAGCAGTAAAGCAGTGCAAAAGCTGCCACCCAGGTATAGAATATACATAATTACAAAGAATACATAGAGACAAAGTTATTAAAACATTTAATCCAAGTTGATTGGATTATTTCTTTCAAGCTGGACTCTAAGCAGAAATTTATAAAAATATATATTTGAGAATATTTGATTAAAAACAATTGAAGCCTTACTTTTTGACTTTTGGTTAGGTCCTGTGGCGTGTGTCCAGGATAACGCCGTTTAGCTCCATAGTGTATTCTTTCATTCCTTTGATTTGTATTCAAGGAGCCGTTGTCTTCTGAATCACTGTCTCCTTGCTGGTCAGAGTCTGTATCCATATGCACATCAGAATCGCTGTCTGTTTCATCACTGTCGGTCCATAATGTGCTATGCACAGGCTCATCGTTTTCTATTAGGACATTTGCACCTAAGAATCACAAGAAATGTAGGTAAACAAAGCGTCACTATTGAAAAAGCTGATATATACTGTATTGTGACAATGGTGACACTGCCTGCTACATAAATGTCTGGTTTAACTGAATGACTGAAAATCAGTAGACATGCTGTTAAAGAAGATAATGGTTAATCTATAAGGTCAGTGTGTCAAAGCTGGAGCAGCTACAACATAAAATTATTTTATTATAGTGCAATGTTCAAAAGGTGTATATTCAAGGATATTGGTAGTATCCATTGTCCAAAAATTCCAAGGTATGGCACAGAATATTGCCTTAGGCCTAAAAACAACCAAAAATGTGTTCACTTTTATTGCTAACATACCCATGCACTCAGTAACATGTCTAAAATACCTGCATTAACCAGCATCTTTGTCAGCACTGGAGAACCCATACAAGCAGCCAGATGCAGCGGTGTATTTCCTCCAAATGTTTGAGCATTTACATCTGCCCCCAGCTAGAAAAAAAAAACAAATTTTTGTTAACAATATAACCACACAGTGGGGTTCCATTATTTACTATGTACAAGTGAGAGATCCCCATAAACAAATACAAGTGAGCCTTTTTCTTACTTTTTTGGTTAGAGTAACAGCCATATTTAGGTTATTAATTTCCACAGCAATGTGAAGTGGGGATCTCCCACTCTTACGCTCTGCAGCATTGACATCAGCTCCGCTTTTCACCAGTCGCTCCAAACATTTTCCATTTTCCACCTTTACTGCCCAGTGAACTGGGTACAAACCTGAAAGTAAACATATTCATTAAAGCCTCGCACAACTGGCACCAAATTTGATGGCATAGCCGCACTGTAATCTGTGTAAAAAGAGAAATATATAAAAAGCTGTTAAAAAAAGGCCTTAGCTTTCTGCATAGCGCAGTCCCTGTGCATAACACAGACACTACTAAAGTAAACAGTCCATGCACTCCCATTATTTCCAATGGTAAAAGCAAGCTTTTAAGCATTTTTACTGGACATTCCTTTACAAACATGTGATAGCAACACCTTTGTTAGCCCCTGCACTATACTAGTGACACTGAACATTTGCTCTTCTCTGTAGAAGCTGATCAAGTCCTCTGCAGCACAGGCACAAGTTGGGTGGCACCTGGCTCAGGATCACTGCTTAGTTTATGCAATTTTACTTGTTAAAAAATCTCATTAAAAAATTAGTAGCACAGGGTATAAGATCGGCTTTGTTTATACTGAAAAATGATGTGAATGGATGTAATACAAATCATTTTTACCTGGGCATCAACATGAAAATAAAAAGGCTGGCCAAATAAACTTGCCCAGACAGCACAACTGATTTAAACACAAGCTGATGAATTAACAACACTTCCTGCACCATTTAAGGCTTGCTTCACACTGATCCTAGCAAAAAACACGGCCAAATACATTTTTACCGCATTCTACTGTGTTTTACAATACATGTGACTCAGAAATGCACCAAAAACACACCGCGTGTGCATTCTTGCTGTGTTTTCCATTGATTTCAATGTGGAGGTGCGTTTTTTTTTTACCACCACACCAAACCTGCACTCAAAAATGCAGCAAGAAGGATTTTTTAAAAAAATCCCGCATCAGATCAGTGTGAAGAGTTCACAACAATAAAGCACAAACAAGCCACCCAATAATGACACGTATAACTAGTGTCATTAACTTATCTCCGACTCACTTGTATAAGTGTGGATCCATAAACCCAAAAGGTACATACTAAGCAAAATGGTAGTGTGACAAGAACACCCCTACCTGGAAAAAGAAGGTTATTAGGTGATCCACGCGGAGTAATATGAATTCAAAAATATTCCAAACAATTCTTTATTTGATCACATAGATCATAAGGAGGTTAAACATGAGCATGGTGTACATATGAAAAAAATAAAATCATGTTAAAAAGCACTAGGCGTCTTCAGTTTAGGGTCATCTTAACAAATAGAGTACCACAAGGCAGAGTTATAAAAGTGGTGATATAGTTATCCTGGGTTTCCATGGGTTTTCGGCTTGTATTCGAGTAAACCATGTATGCAGCAAATGTGTTCCCAATGTATGTCAGGTATCTCCTGATGTGAAAAAAGCTGGAATACAAAAATATATAGTATATATATGGAAATATGAAAACCAAAAAAACCATATCACATCCAATATTCACCAGGCCTCCCTCTACAATGGTCAGTGGATACTACTATTACCTTCTCAAAGGTGAGGTTGACAGGCCAGCTTCTCAATTGTAGGGACTTCCTGGATAGCCACCCCAAATAAAATAAAGTCCACAGTACCAAATGATTCTGAGGATATATATAGAAAAAATAGTGAAAAATGTAAAAATCATGGGCATCAGGTCACCCTGAAAATAAAACACACACAGAGTGGGTATATTTACCATCAATGAAGATCAAGAAAGACATCTGTCGACTTGAAATAGGATCAGGTCCTTGATGCTTTTCCAAGATGCATATGGGGGTGAGAAGCCAGGTAGTCAAATACATAGATTCCAAACACATATACTGTGTATATAGCATATAACAGGCTATACGGGCCTGAATTCTGATACCCAATAAAGGGTTTCCAAAAATTGCTCAAAATGAGAAGATTATTATTCCATATACTGTGTATATAGCATATAAGCAGGCTTTGCAAACCTGAATTTTTATACCCAATAAAGGGTTTCCAAAAATTGCAAAATGAGAAGGTTGGCAACAAGGTATCTTCTCACAGGAACTAGGAACAGGATACAGGGGCTCATGGGAAACCATACACCAAGGCCTTGGTGTATGGTTTCCCATGAGCCCCTGTATCCTGTTTCCTAGTTCCTGTGAGAAGATACCTTGTTGCCAACCTTCTCATTTTGGGCAATTTTTGGAAACCCTTTATTGGGTATAAAAATTCAGGTTTGCAAAGCCTGCTATATGCTATATACACAGTATATGGAATAATAATCTTCTCATTTTGAGCAATTTTTGGAAAAAGACCTTTATTGGGTATCAGAATTCAGGCCCGTATAGCCTGTTATATGCTATATACACAGTATAATGTGTTTGGAAATCTATGTATTGTGACTACCTGGCTTCTCACCCCCATATGCATCTTGGAAAAAGCATCAAGGACCTGATCCTATTTCAAGTCGACAGATGTCTTCTTGATCTTCATTGATGGTAAATATACCCACTCTGTGTGTGTTTTATTTTCAGGGTGACCTGATGCCCATGATTTTTACATTTTTCACTATTTTTTCTATATATATCCTCAGAATCATTTAGTACTGTGGACTTTATTTTTATTTGGGGTGGCTATCCAGGAAGTCCCTTAATTGAGAAGCTGGCCTGTCAACCTCACCTTTGAGAAGGTAATAGTAGTATCCACTGACCATTGTAGAGGGAGGCCTGGTGAATATTGGATGTGATATGGTTTTTTGGTTTTCATATTTCCATATATATACTATATATTTTTGTATTCCAGCTTTTTTCACATCAGTAGATACCTGACATACATTGGGAACACATTTGCTGCATACATGGTTTACTCGAATACAAGCCGAAAACCCATGGAAACCCAGGATAACTATATCACCACTTTATAACTCTGCCTTGTGGTACTCTATTTGTTAAGATGACCCTAAACTGAAGACGCCTAGTGCTTTTTAACATGATTTTATTTTTTTTATATGTACACCATGCTCATGTTTAACCCTTATGATCTATGTGATCAAATAAAGAATTGTTTGGAATATTTTTTGAATTCATATTACTCCGCGTGGATCACCTAATAACCTTCTTTTTCCAGGTAGGGGTGTTCTTGTCAACTACCATTTTGCTCAGTGTGAAGAGTTCCATAGCAATAAACAGTCACGTTTTTCTTCCACTTTTTTTTTTTTTTTAACGCAAAAAAGCGGAAGAAAAACTGATCAATGTGAAACCAGCCTTAGCAATGCAGGAAACCACCACCTGCATCAGTTATTATTTCAGACTGAAATAGAAAATGATGCGGGTTACATGCCATGCCTAATTAGATTGCAGCAGTTTTTCAATATAGAACACTGCTAAGGATTCACATACAGTCCCCTCCCCGTATGGACCTGGCGAACTGGAAGGGAACTGTGCCTGCACTACTCTGTTAATTCTCTCCTTATGGTTCCTATGCTTCTTACCATGATAATCTGGCACATTGAGGAGATTTTTGTAGCCGCTAAATTGGTGTTCTAAGAGAACCTGAAGCATTTTATCATCTCCGGCTTGAACAGCTAAATGTAGCATAGTGTTTCCAAAACGATCGAGGATAGTTGGGTCTGCTCCAGCTCTTATTAGGAGAGCAACTGTTTGACATTGTTTGGTGATCACAGCAAGATGTAAAGGAGTCTGTAAAAGAAAACACAGTAGGTCTAGGGTAAAACTTACATAATCTTTTTGTAATATTCACTTAAAATATTTAAATTAAATTTTTTTAAAACTAACAAACTTCATACTGACCTTCTCCTGTGCAATGGTTCTGCACAGAGCAGCCCCATTCCTCCTCTACTGGGGTCCCCCGCCAGCACTCCTGTCCCGTGCTCCCGTAGCAAGGCACTTGCTAGGGGGGCACTCCTGCAGGCTCACTCCCAAGCCCCCCCCCCACTAGCTGTGATTGACAGCAGTGGAAGCCAATGAGGAGGCAGAAAGCCAAGAGAGCCACTGATCTTGTGCACATCACTGGATTGAGATCGGGCTCAGGTAAGTATAAGGGGGGCTGGGAAGCTGCATGCAGAAGGCTTTAAGAGAATGCATTAAGGTAAAAAAAAAAAAAAAAACAACTTTCATCCTTTAGAACCACTTCAGATAGCAGGGTGCTAATACTGTAATATAAATACAGTAGCTCTGTATTTTCATGTATTACTTCTGTATATTCTGCACATGCTATATTACACCTTTTAAAATCCCTGCTTTAACCCTTACTATTTTTCACTATTCTATAGGAGGATCAGTTAAACTCAACAAACCCATCTTAGAAGCATCCATAGCACAGCAATGGCTATTCATTGGCTATAGCCACTCCATTCTTTCATTGTTTAATACAGTGAAACATGAAGAAGATATGGAGCAACCATATACTATAAGTAGAAGAGTGCTATAAAAATTAGATACCATGGATAAAGCATTCTTTGAACATTCTGTTACAATCCCTGAATTCATTAGAACATACGATTAGTATTTTTGTCTTTTCAATTAACTTCTTTGAGTGGCCAGGCCTTATGGACTTAGTTTTTTCTTACTGTTATTTTATTGCAATATGAAAGTCATATACAATCTCTGTTTCCGAAATGTAATGCTGTGCAAGTCCTTGATAGAAAGCCATTCAAAGCCTGATTACATGTACCCTCACAGAACTAGGGGGTGATTTTACATGTTATCCATCCAAAGCATTCTCTAACCACAACTGCAGCTAAATTTGCCCTTAGTAGTGATGTGAAAAGATCACATTAAACTGACAAGATTTTTCAGCTGTGCATCAACATCCATCAACGTTCATTACTAATGCTAGATCATTAAGTGCAATATCCATACTATGACAGTTTAGGAAAAGCATGTGGAGTAATAAAACTGTGACAAATGACAGAAGCCATAAATACCTGGTGAAGGTTGTTGCATATGTTGAGGATTTTCTGATCTGGAACCCCCCTTATAACATCTACCAGCTGTTGAATGACTGCCGTCTGTCCATGTATAATAGCAAGATGGAGGGGCCTGGGAAGAAAAAAAAAAAAAAAAACTTCAGAACTGAGCATCCTTTACACTAGGAAATTCTACAGGCATACAAAATTTTTATCTTTATACAGGTGAAACTCAAAAAATTTGAATATAGTGCAAAAGTTCATTTATTTCAGTAATGCAACTTAAAAGGTGAAACTAATATATGAGATAGACTCATTACATGCAAAGCAAGATAGTTCAAGCCGTGATTTGTCATAATTGTGATGATTATGGCTTGCAGCTCATGAAAACCCCAAATCCACAATCTCAGAAAATTAGAATATTGTGAAAAGGTGCAATATTCTAGGCTCAAAGTGTCCCACTCTAATCAGCTAATTAAGCCATAACACCTGCAAAGGGTTCCTGAGCCTTTAAATAGTCTCTCAGTCTGGTTCAGTAGGAATCACAATCCTGGGAAAGACTGCTGACCTGACAGTTGTGCAGAAAACCATCACTGACACCCTCCATAAGGAGGAGGAAAGCCTCAAAAGGTAATTGCAAAAGAAGTTGGATGTTCCCAAACTGCTGTATCAAAGCATATTAATAGAAAGTTCTGTGGAAGGGAAAAATGTGGAAGAAAAAGGTGCACAAGCAGCAGGGATGACCGCAGCCAGGAGAGGATTGTCAGGAAAAGGCCATTCAAAAGTGTTGGGGACTTTTACAAGGAGTGGACTGAGGCTGGAGTCAGTGCATCAAGAGCCACCACACACAGACGGATCCTGGACATGGGCTTCAAATGTCATATTCCTCTTGTCAAGCCTCTCCTGAACAACAAACAACGTCAGAAGCGTCTTACCTGGGCTAAAGAAAAACAGACCTGGTCTGTTGCTCAGTGGTCCAAAGTCCTCTTTTCTGATGAGAGCAACTTTTGCATCTCATTTGGAAACCAAGGACCCAGAGTATGGAGGAAGAATGGAGAGGCACACACTGCAAGATGCTTGAAGTCCAGTGTGAAGTTTCCACAGTCTGTGTTGATTTGGGGAGCCATGTCATCTGCTGGTGTTGGTCCACTGTGCTTCATTAAGTCCAGGGGCAACGCAGCCGTCTACCAGGAGATTTTGGAGCACTTCATGCTTCCTTCCGCAGACGAGCTTTATGGGGATGCTGACTTCATTTTCCAGCAGGACTTGGCACCTGCCCACACTGCCAAAAGCACCAAAACCTGGTTCAATGACCGTGGGATTACTGTGCTTGATTGGCCAGCAAACTCGCCTGACCTGAAACCCATAGAGAATATATGGGGCATTGCCAAGAGAAAGATGAGAGACAAAAGACTGAACAATGCAGAAGAGCTGAAGGCAGCTATTGAAGCATCCTGGTCTTCCATAACACCTCAGCAGTGCCACAGGCTGATAGTTTCCATGCCACACCGCATTGAGGCAGTAATTGCTGCAAAAGGGGCCCAAACCAAGTAATGAGTACATATGCATGCTTATACTTTTCAGAGGTCCGATATTCTATGTACAATCCTTGTTTTATTGATGGGATGTAATATTCTAATTTTCTGAGATTGTGGATTTGGGGTTTTCATGAGCTGTAACCCATAATCATGACAATTATGACAAATCACGGCTTGAACTATCTTGCTTTGCATATAATGAGTCTCATATATTAGTTTCACCTTTTAAGTTGCATTACTGAAATAAATGAACTTTTGCACGATATTCTAATTTTTCAAGTTTCACCTGTATATATTTAAAATGTCATGAGTAAATCTAACCTGATGCAGTCTATGTTGACCAGGGCAGATTGTATATTATTCTGCTGGCACAGAAGAAAACAGGCAAAAGGGGTTAAAAATACCCATCTACCAGCTTGCATCTGTGTTCTATGGTCTAGGGTCCACCATTCACACTCACTAAAGGTGGGTGTATGGGCCAATAGGTGAATGACATACAACAACACTGGTCTGTACTGAAACCAGAGAAAAATAGGATCATCTTACAAAGCTTTAACACAAGGATAAGACTCTCTGATTTAGTCATTTGACTAGAACTTTAAAATCTCATTGGACTCAGCTGAAAATATTTGTCACAAATAGGTATACTTATAATGATGGATTGGCTTTGTGAACTGAGCCTAAAATGTTTGCAAGTTACTTATTTACTCTGTTGATGGTGCCCACACACTATACTAGAGCTTGCCTCATGCTACAGTGGCAATTCTCCAGGCACACAGGGAAGGGAAATCTAATTATAAATCCAACAGTGAGCTGGTACACGAAACTTCATAGAACATCTAAGCTTTTTTTTGTGTCATTAAAACAAGGAAGGTTTTGACAGCAAATATACTGCCAATATAGCTACATGACAACATTTCAGATATGTAGTCAGGAGCAGATGGTTTAGGAAAGGATTGTTACAGTGCCAAAACATACACATGTAACTGCATTGGACTGTATCTATAATGCTGCTAAGACCTTTCCTCTTTTAATGAAATTTAATTAAAGCTTGGATTTTTATGGCATCTCTTGTGCCGATGCAATACTCAAAATTTTGCACTCTCTCATTCTGAAGATACTTTGCTTGTATACAGGCAAAGCCGTAAGTGACAAGTGCAGCCCCGTCAGCTTCTTTACCCCAGTCTGTTTGCGTTGAAGATTTTCACTCAGAACTCACCAGGGCAACAAGTATATAGTACAGTACAGGACACATGTAGAGTATTTATACAGCATGTGATATAGATGTATACCTTTAGGTGATTGAACACTGGCAAAGCTTTAGAGGGCAGACACCCTGTGGGTGCCACTGCTATAACCTTACTCCACAACATGAGTTTTGAAGTAAGCAATGGAGAGTAAACCAAGGAATTGAAGGGAGGGTGTCCTGTGTTCCTCTTAACTTACTTGCACAGTACAGGACACAGGCAGGGTATTTATACACCATGGGATCTCATGCATCCCCAATCAATAAATATAAAAGATGGCCAATGATGAGGCAAACAGAACTATGCCAACCTTATATCTGCATCCGCAAAAAAGACTGGATATTTTCCTGGTAAAACTTTGAAAAAGAATGAACAGATGACCAGGTGGGCAACTAGACTAGAGGAGCTCTGTGTGTCTTGAGAAGCTCTATGTTGTGTGCCTGGAAGAGCTGGTGGTCGGAGAGACCTGTATGTAGATACTCTTCAGCAGCAGTGCTACTGAAGAGTAGCCATGTGGGTTAACATTTTCATTTGGACTGTATATATTTTACTGGAGAAAGAACCCCTGCGTGGGAAACCTTATGTTGGACTATTGTTTTTGCGTTTCCTTTTAAGAAAAATGGGCTACCAAGCCCTGAAATCTAGCTCCTGACTGGCGTGAACTCACTTGAAAATGCATCTACCACGGAGCTAAACTTCCCCCATGTCACAACATGTAAAAGCACAAGAGGAGATTTCTCAATAATAAGGTAATCTCTCAATCAGATTTTGTATGCATTGTGTAATGGTGGACTTTAAAGCAGGGCCCCCCATGCGAAGTCCAGAGAATGTGACAAAGAGGAAATTTGTCTGTATGAATGGAGCAGCAGCCTAGAGGTATACCCTAATAGTTCTAGCTACATCCAGGAAATGTAGAGAAATTTCCTTTGGAAGCTTAGGAGCAGGGCAAACGGATGTGAGGACAATGTCCTCATTGAGGTGAAATGCTTAGCCCACTTTCAGGAAGAAAAGACAGTCATGTCATGTTTAAGTATGAAGAAGGGCTCTTTACAGGAAAGGGATGCCATGTCAAAAAGACATCAGATGTAATAGTGACCAAAAAGGCTACTTTGTATTAGAAATCCTATAGCGGATTTTTTTCGGATGCATTTTTTTTTTTTTTTTTTTTTTAACAAGGGAGAAGGAAGTCAGAAGCCTTTCAAAAATAATGGATAAAGCAGAGACCTGACCTTTAAGAATACCTAAGCCCATTTCTGGTTAGGACCTGTCTTGCAGGAAAGCCAGAAGGCATGGTAAAGAGTAATCTCTGGGACTGAAGTACCTGTGTTCACACCAGGCAAAAAAAGATTTCCAGGTGCAACAATAAATCTTCCTGGAAGAGGCTTTTCTTGCTTTTAGCAAAGTAGGAATAACAGACTCTGAGACCCCTTGGTGTCTTAAAAAAAACCCTTGGCTTCAACAGTCATGCTGTTAAAGCCAGGGACTGAGAAGTAGAATGGAATACAGGGGCCTTGAGATAGCAGATTTGGTCTGTTGGGAAGAGGCCTGGAGTTGTCTGCTAGAAGTCAGAATATGTGTGTACCAGGTTCTTTTGGGCCAGTTTGGTGTAATTTGTGTCACTGTTTCTTTCTCTTGCTCCATTCTCTTGAGCAGACAAGGTAGGATTCACACTGGAGGGAAAGAGTTAATTTGCCTTAACTGAGACCAGAGGATTTTATGAATGCATTTGAAGCTAGAGGATCCCTGGGTCTGGCAACAAACAGGCAGTTTGTTGTTGAATCTGGAGGCTAGGGTGTACACATTTAGAATCCCCCATTTTTGGCTTATCACATTCATGATATCTGGATGAAGGGCCCATTCCCCTCGATCCAGGCGATAATGGCTGATTTGATCCAGGGGATGGCAGTTGAGATAATTAGTTTTCTAGTTGTCCGCTCCTGGGACACTGCTGGACAGTTAGTTTCTGTCCAAGAGAAGATCTTGTTAGCTTTCTTCAAGGCATAAAGACTGTTGGTGCCCCACTGTTGCCCCCCCCCCTTGTTGCTGCCCCCCTGCTGATATAGGCAACTGCCATGGCATTGTATAACTGCACCCTGGTTGGGTACCCTTTTAGAAGGGGTGGCAGGGCTACTAATCTTACTGCTCTGAGCAGCTTGGCTTCCCTCAATGACCATGTTCCTTGGATTGTTAGGGACTAGAACTCTCCTACCCAGGCTGAGAGACTTCCCCACTGTTAGGGCTGGGGTAGTGATCCACAAAGATAGAGAGTTTTTTTGCTTCGCTGGACAGGAGCACTGGCAAATCAAGAGAAGGAGCCTGCGTGCTTCCAGCTGACAAGATGTTTTGTTGGAGCGTTCTTGAGTGGAATTTCTGCAGAAGGTACTGCTTTGAAGAAAGGATCATTAAGCATAGAATTTTCATGAAGCTCAATATGGGATGTCCCTTGGATCACAATTCTAGAGAATGTGCTCTTAGAGAAAGAACTTTCTTTTTCTTTTGCTTAGTCCGTGCCAAGGATCAGGTCCAAGTATTCCAGGTGAAGGAAAGGCTGGAGAGCGAATTTGTTGAAATTTATCACCCAGCCGAAGCATCTGAATTGTCTTGTGGACTCTTGCAGATAGCTGGAAGAGAGAGGAGTCTTTCAGGAGAAGGTTATCTAGCTAGCCTCCAACTTGGATTCCTTGAATTTTGAGCAGGGCAAGCAGAAATGCTTAAGACTTTTGTTAACAAAAAAAGGATAAGCCAAAGGGCAATGAGGATGTCAGGGACCATCGTGACGCATGGGTCTCTACATGCGTAGGTGTCTGTCAAGACATGCAGGCAGCAGGGCACTAGGACCCAGGCGCACCCGTCACCTATGACGGCGCTGAGCAGGCACTAGGACCTAGGCTACTTAAACCAGCCCTGCACAGACACAAGTTGCCGTATGGTCTGATCTTGTTCCTGTGATCTGTGAGTTGATTCCTGACTGTTGCTGACCTTGCTTAAACTTGACCTTGCTGATATTCTCCTGCCCTAACCCTCTGGCTCGTTTGACTACTCTTCTGGATATCCCTTCTGATCTGAACTTCTGTTACCAGACCCGGCGAGTGACCCGATTCTTCTGTGCCTGCTGTCTTGTACCACGCTGTCCGCCCGTTACTGACCCGGCCCGTCTGACCACGCTATTGCTCAGCCATCCATCCGACCCGCACGGATTAGCTGCTACTCTCCAGACCTGTCTGCCTCTTCACAACAGGCTCTCTACCTGTCATTACCTCTGGTGATTCCTCTACCTCAGGTGGGTGTACTCAGGGGCCGCGACTTGGTCACTGTCCGCTCCAAGCCCATCCCCACCATCAGGGGCTCTGGTGAACAGGCGGACTGGGGCTTAGACTCCGCGCCCTGGGGAATCCTGTCCTGTGGACTGCTAGAGTACACCAGGTGGTCCATAAGAGAGGATATGGTTGTCTGCCAATCTGTAGAGCAGAAAGCGCACAAGGTGGTTAAATGGAAATATGTAGACAGGCACCTTGGATATCCATAGTTGCCATGTATTTCACTTGTCCCAGAGAGGCAATTGCTGAGCTTGCAGATTACAAGTGAAATTGTTGAGAAATTTTAAATCCAGAATAGGACAAATACCATGAACAGGTTGAATAAAATCCTTTAAAATCTGTTGTGCAAAAAAAGGTAGTTCAGGGCATTTTGTAAATCTAACTGTCCTTGGGCAGTTTTTGGTTGATTTGAAAGAAGAAAGCAGTGAGGTAGTAGCGTTTTGAACTACACTGTGTACCTTTTTGAAACCATCAATTAAGTCCAAAAGTCTGGGACATCTGTGACCCAGAGAGAGAGGCAAAAAACAGACATCACCTAACTCTTAAAAGTGAGGGTGTCCCTTCATTGTGAAGAGGGCTCTGGGGAAGGCTGGTGGCTTTTTTGAGTCAAGCTTTTTGCTGAAGCTGAGGCTGGTTACAGTAGACAGGTGCTCTGCGTTTTTTTTTTTTTTCATTTAAGCTGGAGGCTCCTGAAGAAGTTGGTTTTGGGACCTTCCATTGTGGAAGTGAAATGTTTCCACTTCTAACTTCTTGATAAATTGGTCAAGTGTCTCACCAAATAGACATCTCCCTTAGAAAGGAAGGAAAAATTAGAACCATTCTGGAAATTTGTCTCATGCCATGTTCTAGGGCATTTACACAGAAAAGTAGGGCAGAGGACAATTGTTGTAATTGATGTGTTACAGCACAATCCTGAAATACAGGATTGTGTTGGCTGTTCATTGCCCTAGTCCAGTCAGCTGCTGTTTGACATACTGAAATTGCAGCAAGAGCCTGTTGCAAGGGTGAGGCTTGCAAGATTAGTGAGAGCTTTCAGGAGTGTCTCAAACTTTCTATCTGCAGAACCTCTGAAAGAAAAAAAAACATCTTTAATAGAAAGAGTGAGACTTTTGTTTAGACAGACAGGATCAACTACAAGAATAGCCAATTTTTTGGTAAACTTCTTTTTCCACTGGATAGACTTCAGTAAAGAAATTGTGGGGAATGAAAATTCTTTCAGGAGTGACCCAGTCACCGTAGACTAAACATTCTATCTGTTCATGAACAAGGAGTGTTTTACAGGGTTTTGTAGGTCTCTCTGTACCTAAAGGGGCATGGGAAGATGAAGGAAAGTCAGGCTGCACAATGTCAAAGTTTTTGCAGAGGTAATTAATTGTTCACCGTTCGCAAACATGTTTCATGAAGCTCCGTCTTCAATATAGTCACAGTCTGGGGCAGAAAAAAATCTTCCGACGCTTCCTTCAATACTGCATCAATATCCTCTTCAATTTCTTCTGTGTCTGCATGCTATAGGACTAGCATATCAGGATCGAACTCAGGTTGAGAAATGGGAGTAGGTAAATCTGTGGGATAAATTCTCTCCTTCCTACAGTTGGGTCTGGATCAGCATTTGGCTCTCAGTGCTATCAAGCATCAGGTTTCTGCCAATATTACTGTTTCAGAGTCTGTTGTCCTCTCTCTCTCTTTGATTTGGACCTTTGTACAGGGGAGTCTCTCAGGTAACTCTGCCTTCTTAGTGACTCCATGGGATCTGAATCCAGTTCCTTCTGTAGTTTTGAAACCACCACTGAGCAGGTTCCTTTCTCTACTCTCATGGTGGAACTGCTTGTAGCCATCACCTCTTTAAGGTGAGTGTCTAAACTGGTTGCTTTATCCAGCATGAAACCCCTAGTGGTTTGGAAAGGGACTAGGTGGTGTTCAGGGCTCAGGCCTTCATTCTTGCCCAGGGTAATTTCTGCCTTACACCTTAACTAGGACATTGTTCTCACATTCCTGACTGCTTCCAGTTCACCGACAAGAAATTTCCCTCTATTGCCTTAATGTGGTTCGGGCTCTGAGAATCTCTCTCTCAGATACTGCTTCTTTCAAAAGACTGATTCTCTTTTTGTCATCCTGGGTGGACCCCTGAAGGGTGCTCTGGTTTCTCTTTCCACCAAGGTGGATCAGGAAGACCATTATCCAAGCTCATGGTTTATTGGGGTCTACCTAATAGGCTAAAAATTCCTGCGTTTCCCAATGAACTCCAAGAAAAGGATTTTTTGATGAGTGCAAAAATCTAATTTTTTTCCCCTGGTGTGTATGTTTAAATTCACAAGAAGAAATAAAATGCTTACGTGTCTCCATTTTCATCCCGTGTAGCAGTTAGTGGTCTCTGCACAGCCAGCAGCATGCGAGGGTCTGCACTTACTGCATAGTCCATTAAGGACTTGGAGGTACGCTGGGCTAGGGACAGCATTCTCATACTGCAGATATGAGCTGTGATGAGAGAAGAAACATGAGTACCACTGCTTTATGAAAAACTTATCAATTACATTCAATTTAATGCTAGCTTCACATCTATGCAGATTGAGGATTGTACAATTTCAGTTTGTTTTGCGTTCATGAACACGCGTTTTTGATGCGTTGAGGTTTGTTTGCCAATATGAAAGAACTGATTTTGATGCCACTTGATGCGACTTTGGATGCGTGCGACTTGGATGTGACTGACTTTTTTCTTACTTTTTTTTTTTTTGCGACTATTATGTGATTGTTTTTCTTTATTTTCTTTCCTAATACGAAAGTATAACATTCCTGTTTATGTAGTGCAGCTTTGATGCTACTTGAGTGCCACAGAGTGTAAGATCACATCAAAGGTGCACTTCATGAAAAGAACTGTCATACTTTCCTATTAGCAATAAAAAAAAAAAAGTCACATCAAAAGTCACACTCATCCAAAGTCGCATCCACGTCACACCCATCCGAAGTCGCAGTCAAGTTGCATCGATAATTTCCTTTTGCCAGCCTCCCCCCTCCCCCTGCAAATGCATTAAAAAAAAAAAAAAGAAATACTTGCATTTTTGGTGCAGGTCTATTACACGTAAAACACAATTTACTGCGAGAAACAGTGTTCTTGACCCTTTACAAAAACACACTGGCTCAAAATGCAGATATGGGATCTATATCCATAGGAAATCATGTTAAATGGACTGTAGTGCGTTTCTGCAAACTAGAAAACACAACTGAAACCTGCATAAGTGTGAACCTAGGGTAAAACAGGTAATCCAGAATAAAATAAAAACACTAGACATATGATATGTACTTTTAAGCTGTGACTAAACAGGTCTTATTTCTGTACCTTGACGTATGGTCTCTTGGCAATCTCTTTGGAAAGATGGAACATTTTCCGGTGTGGGACTGCCTGGGGTCTTGTCGGTCTCCTTCTTAATGTTTACTGGCTGGTGTGAAGCCTCAGAAGATTCAGCTTTCATGTATGCACCCTGGTAGACTGAACCAGTGTGTGTAAAGAAACTACCATGTATGGAATGCTTCCAAAGGAGTAATTCATATTGTTCCCTTGTAAATTATGAAGCAAAAAAAGAAATAAATCAGTCAGAATAACCAAACAGCCTTCTACTGAATCATTAAAAGTGTTTTTTTTTTTTTTTTTTATTTCTGATTACATTTATAAATGAAATAAGGATCAGGAAGGTCTGATGCATGAACTAATGCTTTTAGAGTAGCATGCTGTGTGGATGTGCCATAGGGTGACATTGGAAAGAAACAGGATATCTGAATTAGTGAGCACACCTACCTCCTGCATGTCCAAAACCTCCAGAGCCTCCGCCTCCTCCTCCTGCACCCCCCATGGGTGCTCCTCCACCAAAGCTGTGGTTTAACGATGGAATATCTTTTCTCCTTTTTCTCTCTACCTCTTCTTTGTCTGCAGAACAAGAGGTTATCAGAGCCGCTAAGAAATATTTAATTTCTTGGTGCATGACAACATAATCACTTACCTTGATCCAAGGGGTAGTAGGTAAACTGCTTGGAGTCACTGACATCTCCACCACGTTTTCGTTTTAACTGCAAGAACACGGTCACCGGGCGGTCAATTTTCTGCTTGTGGTATGGAGGGGTCCGGAACACAATGGCATACTGAACCATAAAAGAAACCCATCAGCCTTTACACTTCCGTTGTATTTACATATTCAACTTTGCTAACAAAGAAAGCATCTAAACTACCAGTTTGCTTAAAGGATTCTAACAGTATGAAAATGCTTTAAAATACAGCACGAGCACCTGATAACTTTAAGCTACACACAAAAAAATATTTTACAGTACGAGACACTGCTGGAGAAATCTTGCTTTCTCCATGTCTTAGTGACCAAAGTAAGGGGAAATCCCCTAACTAAATCACCTGCTAAAGAAACAACAAAATAAATCTATCTGGCATTCTAACCCTAGTCCACAGAGTCCAAAACAAGAAAAGGGTTCAGCTTGAATTCTTAATTAAAATGACATTTGTTAGACATAGCCTTTAAACGCCATAGGGTGTTAAAAGCCATTAAACCTTTACATCAGAAAAAAAAAAGGCATGCAAGTATACACTTCCTACCCTTCTGTCATATAGCCAGTTACAGCACAAGCACAAACCTGCAATTTGTAAATACTGTACCAATGAATCCAACATACCTGCTTATGGACATCTGTTGGTGCAAAGCTCCCTAATGCCTCCCATCCGTTTTCATCATCTTCATAAAACCGCACTTCTATGTCATCTGCAGAAGAGAAGTAGAATGTAAATGTTTAGGACACAGAGATAAACCACAGCTGGTGTGCAACAATGCACAAACTATTTGGGTCAATATACCTCTCAAGACAATGCCATATTTTCTTTCAAGCACCGACTGTGTTTAAAATTATTCACAAAAGGTGATTTACACAAGAATTCAAACCAATGAATAATACAATATTCCAACAGCAAACAAGAATATATTTTCATTTGCTGTTCTGTTATTCCATTGAAGGGAAAGTCACATGCAAGAAACTGATAAACTACTGCTTGTTTGTTAATATATTTACCCACTGACTGTGGCTAGTAAAACTCAGCTATCTTGGATTGGCATCACACACTGGTCCTGTCTGACAGGCCTTAGGCTCTGTGCAACATTGAATACCAAGAAGGGACTCTTACCTACTGTATGACAAACCCTCTCTAGCTCTAGATGCAACATACCAAGTATTGTGACAAGGCCAGTGCACAAGTGCTAAGAAGTAAACCGTCTTCGTCAGATTAAGCAGTTATTAGAAATCCACATTTCATAACGTAATAAAAATAATTATGTGAAATTAATTACACCTTTAAGGTTAAGGAAGTGGTAGTAAAAAGGTACCTTTCTGCACTTTATCACAGAGTAAGTACACCTCATCTCCTCCTTTTACAGAGCCTGCAGTCTTGTCCATTCGAGAAATACGCAGGTTTGAGGCTCCAGGAGATTCTACATTAAATAAAATGAGAATATAGTAAAAACGACATTTAAAATACATTCCTGCACCATGACATAAAAATACAAGATCACTGCTCATATTCAAAGTACTTCAGTATTTAAGACAAATTATATCTACAAAACAGAATGCAAGACAAAATACTGCTTCTATCACCACTGTGCTGCTCCCTAGCCTCCCAGCTGCATTTAGTCATATAGCCAGTAGGGGTCACTCAAGTTAAACTGATGAATTATTATGTATTCTTATTAGAATTTTCTGTTGAACTAGAGTCAGCCCTCAAAAATGAAATTTCCCTCTCTGAATGGTTCCTGTTCAGCAAAATCAGCCACTTACTTTTTATTGCAATAGGCCTCACAGCAGCAGGAGGAATCTTATTCCACCAACTGCGTTCTACATGCCATCAATGAAAAGGCAAAACTGCAGTGAGGAGGGAGCAGGGGTGTGGTTTACTGCTGCGTGTCTGTGGACACACAGCGCTCAGTACCAGACCTGATGGGAGCACGCAGAGGTGCCTTATTAGCATTCAACTAGGAGGACAGGAATCTAGAGTGTCAGTGGGGACTGTAAAAACAAGAGAAAAGTGAAGTTTCAGTACATTATGGTTGCACAGGGAATGTGTTGCCTTTTTTAAGTAAAAAAAAAAATTGTCACTTTAAATTAATTTTATATATATGTCACAAACAGTGGGGGGACAGAAATGGGGTGATTATTGTGCTCGATGAGATGTGAGGGCTTTCATTTTCAGTTAACTACTAATAAAGATGAAGGATGAAGATGAGATGTACAGGTGAAACTCGAAAAATTAGAATATCGTGCACAAGTTCATTTATTTCAGTAATGCAACTTAAAAGGTGAAACTAATAAGAGATAAACGCATTACATGCAAAGCAAGAGAGTTCAAGCCGTGATTTGTCATAATTGTGATGATTATGGCTTAGAGATCATGAAGACCCCAAATCCACAATCTCAGAAAATGAGAATATTGTGAAAAGGTGCAATATTCTAGGTTCAAAGTGTCCCACTCTAATCAGCTAATTAAGCCATAACACCTGCAAAGGGTTTGTGAGCCTTTAAATGTTCTCTCAGTCTGGTTCAGTAGGAACCACAATCATGTGAAAGACTGCTGACCTGACAGTTGTGCAGAAAACAATCATTGACACCCTCCATAAGGAGGGAAAGCCTCAAAAGGTAATTGCAAAAGAAGTTGGATGTTTCCAAAGTGCTGTATCAAAGCACATTAATAGAAAGTTATGTGGAAGGGAAAAGTGTGGAAGAAAAAGGTGCACAAGCAGCAGGGATGACCGTAGCCTGGAGAGGATTGTCAGGAAAAGGCCATTCAAAAGTGTTGGGGACTTTCACAAGGAGTGGACTGAGGCTGGAGTCAGTGCATCAAGAGCCACCACACACAGCCGGATCCTGGACATGATTGTGATTCCTAGTGAACCAGACTGAGAGACCATTTAAAGGCTCAGGAACCCTTTGCAGGTGTTATGGCTTACTTAGCTGATTAGAGTGGGACACTTTGAGCCCAGAATATTGCACCTTTTTCACAATATTCTAATTTTCTGAGATTGTGGATTTGGGGTTTTCATGAGCTGTAATCCATAATCATCACAATTGTGACAAATCACGGCTTGAACTATCTTGCTTTGCATGTAATGAGTCTATCTCATATATTAGTTTCACCTTTTAAGTTGCATTACTGAAATAAATTAATTTTTGCATGATATTCTAATTTTGCGAGTTTCACCTGTATATAGCGCTGCACCATATTATTGTTTATTTTGCTTTTTCACCTATAGGTAAAGGTTTGAGGTGCTAGCTATTTAGTATAGATATATATTATATTTTATATATTAAGCGCAGGGGGAACACTACTTTGTTTTATTATTATGAGATATGGACCAACTATGGGGAGCTAACAGGAAAGACAGCAGCAGAAATATCTCTATACACAGGTTGTTTATATAGTGCTAAGGTGCACAATTATCATACAAGTTTACTATATTATGTACTTATTAAAATAGATTTTCCTGGTCAACAGTTAAAAACTGCACACCAGCATGCAAAATTACTCAAGGCAAACCTGAATTATTGCATCATGGTTGTTCCAAAAAACAGATGTAATATTCTGTATTACAAGGTGTATAAATCAAATCACTCACTGCTGTCATGGATGGGATCAGAAATGACTGGCTTCAAACGGAGGGTATAAGCACCAGTGCTGTCTGGCAAATATGCTGTAAACCGAAGACGGACAATGCTCAAGTCTGTAACTTTCTTCAGGTCTTTTACATCTGTATCTATATCTTTCTCATCTTGTTCTGTAAAAGGATAAGTCCATCATGATAAAGAACAGGATCATATTTTCACATGCTTGAGTTTTTTGTTTAATTTCAGTTGGGAAAAAGCTCAGTTTCATTTCCAGAGCAGATATGACAAATCTGTAAAAGATTTGTATGTACTGTCAGAAAAAAAAAAGAACATAAACTAGAACAATAAGAGCAACCTATATAAAAAGATGCTGTACAATTCTGTGTTTTACCTGTGAGACAACGGGTTCTCAATATTTGTTGTCTTATCTTTTCCTTTAGAATTTCGATCTGGCTCTTTTTTGTGACATGGACAATCCCTAAGTTATTAAACCTAAACACAAATACAAAACACATTACGTTAAATATTTACATCTGGCAGAAAGCAATGAACATGTGAAGAGTTTGCAATCATCCACCTTACAAAGAAGCACTTCTTAGGTAAGCACACGTTACAAGCAATAAAGTAGATAGAGTAAGGCAAGTTATAACCCGTCAGTTTCTTTTTTTTTTTTTGCTGTCTGTGTCCCATTAAGCAGAAAACCCTTCACTTCTTGTTCAATAGCTAAAATAGGAAGTGAGAGGAAATGCCTTCAGAGTGAGGGAATCTCTGTTTGCCACTGTTTACTGTTCTGGTGGCAACCCAAAATTTGGGATTTTTTTTTTTTCACTTTCACTCTTGGTGATAACAGTAAACAGGACAAATAAGGAGGGTAAATCTCCATAACGGGGAGACCGAGAGCAATAAAAACTTGACAGGTGTTCTATTCCCTCCCTCTCCTCTCTATCCAAAACTCAAAATAAAAAAGAAAAAAAGTTTTACCTTTAGTTACATTTAAATGCAACAAGTACTCCACACCATATACCAACAGAAACATTAAGGCCTCATGCACACTGGATGCTTTATTTAACTCTCCTAGAAGCCTCCCCTGGCAGCAGCATATTGGTCAAAAAAAGACTAATGCTTGTAAAAATGTGTAACGCGTTTAGCTGCATTTACAGCATCAAGTGTGTGGGTGTTAATTCATTTTATTGGCCAAAATAAATAATAATAAATATTCTGGTCATTGAAACGAATTAACACTCAAGTGCTAAACGGGCCTAGTATTAATGCGCACTTAGATGCGCTTACGCACGTCAAACGTTTTTTCTGCCAATAATCTGCTGCTCCTTGACACACTGGCAGTGTTATTTTTTCCTGCTTCTAAACTCTCCTGCCACTAAATGCCTCCAAAAGTTTGTGTGCATGGAAACATAGGTTAACATGCAGTGAAGGAAAAAAGAAAAAACAAACAAGAAAACAAAAAATGAAAAAAGCCCCTGACAGCAGCTGTTAAAATGTCCAGTGTGCTTGAGGCCTAAAAAGGCAAATATTACTATAGAAAAAATAGCTTTTACACAAGAGAACACATCATTGTGGGATCAATTCACTAAGAGTTAAAGCGATCGTAAACTTGAGGAAAAAAAACTCTCCCTGCAAGGCAATGTTATAAAGTGCTAGTATGGCCGCAGCATACAGCTCTGTAGGAACGGAATGGGTATGTTCCTTCAGAGCGCATGTACGGTTGACATCGCCGGCTGCCGCTCACTAGCATTTCTCCTAAATGGAGCACGTTAAGAAGATATTCATTTTACCTACATTCTTATGCTAAGTTTACACTAGTGACAGCCTTTGATGCCCCCTTCTAAAAGCGATCCATTGTGGTTTGCTTTTCAGAGGAGGTTGACAGGCCTTTAAATACGGCACTATTGGCTGTCTTTTCAGCTTAAGGGGGTAGTGAAAATGCAGCTGAATCACCTGTTTCTACAATCTCCCCCCCCCCCCCCCCCAGTGTAAACAAGCCCTTAGTATGCCTTCATGCACAGAATGATCTCCCTCTGTGCAATGCTACAAATTAACAACATTGCTGAGCAAACAGCATTGCACTTACTGGCCAGTGCAGGGTTTCCCTGAAAGTTGTTTCCTACATTACTAAAATACTGAATGCCTGTACCAAGTGAATTGAATGTCATGAAGCTTTGTCATCACACAACTGATAATTCTTTATTCATGAACTGACTCCTAAATTGTCAAATGCAATAATTTATGTGACACAAACATCGCATACGATAAACATTAGTGAACTGACCTCTGTATCCTCTATAATGGGAAAAGAGGAGGTAGGAGAGGTCAGAGAAGAAGTCTGATTTGTGAACAAACTTACTGAGCAGTCATGTCTTTAGGTCCTACAGTCACCACACAACTTCCTGTCTCATTGGCATGTTTTCCAACAAGGCTGTGAGCGTGAACACGTGGCGGGTCTGTGTGCGCAACCAAATCCACTTCAATCTTGGCCATGCCAACATAATTAAAGATCTGCAATAAAGATATATAAAAAATAACAAAAATTAAAATTGATCAGAAACCACTTTCACGTGATGCACACTATAGGTAATAAGTTAACCCACTCAAGGACAGACAGCTGCTCCCAGTATGCGGTCATTTAGGACTTCTTCCACAAAGAAAATTGTTATTTAATATAGGTATTTGTCGTTTGGAAAAGGCACACACACGTTCAATTGCTTGGTAACAAAAATTGTTAATCGGCCAATCACATGGCAGCAACTAAATGTATTAAGGCATCTGGATGTGGTGAAGACGACTTGCTGAAGTTCAGACCGAGCATCAGAATGGTGAAAAAAGGGTATTTAAACTACTTTCAATGTGGCATGACTGTTGGTGACAGACGGGCTGGTCTGCATATTTCAAAAACTGCTGATCTACTGGGAATTTCACTCACAACCATCTCTAGGGAAATCAAGACTCATCAGACCAGGCAACACTTCTACAATCTTCTGTTGTCCAATTTTGGTGAGCCTGTGCGAATTGTAGCCTCTGTTTTCTGTTCTTAGCTGACAGGAGTGGCACCCAGTGTGGTCTTCTGCTCCTGTATCCCATCTACTTCAAAGTTCAACGTTCTGTGTGTTGAGAAATGGTATTCTGCATACCATGGTTGTAACGAGTGGTTATTTGAGTTACTGTTGCCTTTATAACATCTCAAACCAGTCTGCCCATTCTCCTCTGACATCATCAAGGCATTTTTGTCCACACAACTGCCACTAGCTGGATATTTTCTCTTTATTGGATCATTCTCTGTAAATGCTAGAGATGGTTGTGCATGAACATCCCAGTAGATCAGCAGTTTTTTTAAATATTCAAACCAGCCTGTCTTGCACAAACAACCTGGCCACGTTCATAGTCACTTAAATCCCCTTTATTCCCCATTCTGATTTGAACTTCAGCAATTCATCTTCACCACCTCTAGATGTCTAAATGCATTGAGTTGCTGCCATGTGATTAGCTGATTAGCAATTTGTGTTACCAAGCAATTGAACAGGTGTACCTTATAAAGTGGCCGGTGAGTGTATATTGTCTGGCTTCAGTTTACAGTTTATACAACAACAAGGCTCTGTTCAACAACATCACCTAAAACCAACACTGGGTGTACACTGGTGGAGAAATCAACTCCCAGTTTCCTATATCCAATAGGACAACTTTTCTAAAAGTTTTCCTAGCATTGGAAACCGTAAGACAAGCAAGTACATAAAACAAAAATAACTCACTTTAACTGTTGGATAGGTTTTCTTCCCTTTCTCGCTGGATGCCCCAGGTAGTCCACCGTGAGATGGTCCTTCACACACATAGCGAAACCGAAAGCCACGCTGTAAAGATCAATATTGGCAATGAATACAGTAAACAAATATTTACAAACTTTTCACTTTTGTAGAAATCGGTGCTTACCAAGCACCCACTGTTGGGTCTACAGTTCCTGCAAATGACCCCAAAAAGGTAATGCTAGTGGACAAGTTTATGTGTAATCACAAGCAAAAGGTTATTGGCAAGAGTGTTTTCAGGGAATCAAATCTAAAATTAATTACCTTTCCATGAAAGAGTTGTGGGTTTTAGCTATACCATGGCCCTGACCACACAAAATGATAAATGGTCCACATTAATTTTAATAAATACTATCATGAAAATCCATTGTCCATTTAAAAGAAACTATTTAATAATTATTAGCGGCCTCTTGAACATAGGTCACCTGTCACACCGCTGCGATTTAAAAATTGCGTGATTTGTGTGCAATTTCAACGTGATTTCTGAAGACTTTATTGCTACTTGTAAAGATTTTCAACGATTTCTTGCAATTTTCAGAGCGATTTCCATTGTATTCTATGTATGTGAAATCGCAACAAAACTGCATAAAAAGTCATACAAGAACTACTTTAGAAATCGCAAATGTTAAGACATTGACATTCATTAGATGAGATTTCAGGTGCGATTCCAATTCCTAAATCGCAGATGCAAGTGTTCATTTTAAAAGTTAACAGCAAGGGGTGTCAAAGGCACTATTTTGGAGTTAGATTTGGTCTCTCTCTGTAAAGTGTCACTAACAATGATGGAAAAATGAACTCATGCTAACAAAATATGGTATTAGGAAAAGATGAATGGTCAATGTGACCGTACAGTCATTTACCTACCTGTTTGGGCTGCTCTATGATTGCCAGGTGTGGACCATTTGCTTAAAAGAAATGATAAAAAGTTAGATAATGCATTCTCTAGGAAAATTTTTACTTGATTAGCAAAACGAGGAGAGAATGTGTTGACTTTATGCATGTAAATTGCACTCTATAGGTTTCTAAAAATATAGAAAAGTTTTTTAGCATGTGGCTCTGCAAAGAGCATCCTACAAAGTGACAAAAAACAGCAACAAGGTGCTATTTTATCTGCCAGGATTAAATAAGCATTATTTCTTTGAGATGTGTTCATTTGTACTTCCAACATAAGGCAGTATTAAACCCAAAACCAAAAGTATAAATATATGGCATATTACCAATCTTTTCCCCCTTTATTTTCACCTGGTGAGCCAGTAACATGCATCTGTCTTTACGTCTCTCGCCACTCTGAATGGTGGAAAGCAGCATTTGTCAATCTGGGGAGAGGGTAGTGCTGGATGCACAAGCAGATTAAAATGTAATTGAGCAATAAATTAAAGCTGAACTTCAGCCAAAACTATTTAAGCAGTTACAGCAAATTTTCCTTTGGATAAATATTTTACATAAATTAATAAAAGTTGACCATTGTAAGCACCCTTGTCAGTGTTAAATGGTTTATTCCAACCCTCAAACTGTCACTTTTTTTTTGGACAGTTTGGTCTGTTTAAACATTCAATACCAGGCACTTTTACCCCCTTCCTGCTCAGGCCAATTTTCAGCTTTCAGCATTGTCGCACTTTGTATGACAATTGCGCACTCATGCAAAATTGTACCCATAAAAAAAATGTTAGCATATTTTTTTACACAAACTAGAGCTTTGTTTTGGTGGAATTTAATCACCACTGAGTTTTTGATTTTTTGCTAAAAAAAGACCGACACGTTTGAAAAAGAACAAACAAAAACGTGTTTTTCTTCGTTTCGGTTAGAACATTTTGCAAATAAATAACCTTTTATAAACATAGGTCAAAATGTGTTCTGCTACATTTCTTTGGTGACAATAACCCAAAATAGTGTATATTATTTAGTCTGTAGGAAGGGTTTAGAGTCCACAAACTATGGTATCTATATCTGACAATAGATTAATCCTAATGTACTGAAACCTCATTTCTTGAGGCCCGAAACCGCCATGATAGTACAAATTCCCCCAAATGACCTATTTTTGGAAAATAGTCCAAGGTATTTAGTAAGAGGCATGGCAAGTTTTTTTTTGAAGTTGTATTTTTTTTGTCACAATTTTTAAGAAAATGAAGAAATATTGTCACCAGTCCAGTACAGTGATATCATATAACTGGTGTGGCGGTGATCAGGGACATTGAATAGTGACAGTATTTTTTTTAAATGTCTATTATTTAGTTCAACACACTGTGACCAGAGCAAAACAATGTTACTGTAGTAACACTGTAGTACTCTGGGGAAGTGAACAGGATTTTATACCAGTGAATTTCATTGATATTAGCAATCATTTTTACTGAATGAAAGTGATTCATTAAGTGTCTTAACTGTGATTAACTGTGATTGGCCAAAGCTCATCAGATGGCACAGATGGGCTGTGATTGGATATGTCTGCACCATGTGACTGCTGCGATCAATCACAGCTAACAATGCTATTGTATACATACAATGGATGGCATGAAAGGAAGCCATCCATTGTTTACAATTGTCATGTGATTGGTCACAGTGATCACATGACACTTGCAATGGGTTGGTGTAGTGATCAGTCATCGGATGCGTATGGTGGACACAGCCAGTAACAGATCACACCGCTGCATGGCCCTGCGGCAGTGTGAGCGGAACCTCCTGAGAGGACGTCATATGATGTCCACTCAGAAGGAGAAGCATTCTGTCTGACCATCAATCTGCTATAGGCCAGATGAGAAAGTGTTAAGGAAGTTAAAAAAGAACAGACAATATTGGTCAGAACACCAGGTGCAAATAAGAAAAAAAAAACTTAAAAAAGAAAATTAATGCAGCCATCACATCAAACATTTGGTAAGCTGCAATATAATACTTTTTTTGTTTTGGGGTTTAATACTGCTTTAAGTTTACCAGACAAACAGCTGAATATTTACTCAAGCTCAAAACTAATGCACTCCTTCAAAAATAAAAATGGAGGCTAGTAGGGCAGTGTCTAGAATGCACTTACTTTTAATTGCAAGCCACTAGCTGCAGAATATGAAAGAGCCCTCTTTTCCTGCTATCACCAAAAACATGGTGTGCCTACAAGCTAGGATAAGAGAACTGTTCTGTTGGCTTTTTACTATGAAGAGTTTGAGCAGTGCCAAATCCAGAACACTACTGTTGGCTAATCAGGCAAAACACCCCCATAGATCGAAATAATTCTTTAACTATTTACTTGTTAAAACTATCAGACAAATATAAACACACACACACACACATATATTTAATTTATTTATTTTGCATCCAGAAAGTGTTTACTGCGCTTAACTTTTGCAACATTTTATGTTACAGCCTTAGTCTAAAATGGATTAAATACATTTTTTTTCTCAACATTCTACAAACAATACCCGATAATGACAACATGAAAGAAGTTCATTTTGAAATCTTTGCAATTTATTAAAAATAAAAAACTAACAAAACCACATGTACACAAGTAGCCTTTGCCTTTGCCATGACACTCAAAATTGAGCTCTGGTGCATCCTGTTCCCACTGATCATCCTTGAGATGTTTCCACAACGTGATTGGAGTCCCACCTGTGGGAAATTCAGTTGATTGGACAGGATTAGGTCAGGCATAAACCTGTCTATATAAGGTCCCACAGTTAACAGTGCATTTCAGAGAACAAACCAAGCCATGAAGTCCAAGCAATTGTCCGCAGACCTCCGAGACAGGATTGTATCAAGGCACACATCTGGGGAAGGGTACAGAAAAATTTCTGCAGCATTGAAGGTCCCTATGAGCACAGTGGCCTCCATCATCCATAAATGGAAGAAGTTTGGAACCACCAGGAATCTTCCTAGAGCGGGCCACCCGGCCAAAATGAGCGATCGAAGGACAAGGGCCTTAGCCAAGGAGGTAACCAAGCACCAGATGGTCACTCTGAAAGGGCTCCATCATTTCTCTGTGAACCTTCCAGAAGAACAACCATCTCTGCTGCACTTCACCAATCAGGCCTGTATGGTATTGTGGCCAGACGGATGCCACTCCTCAATAAAAGCAAATGACAGCCCGCCTGGAGTTTGCCAAAAGGCACCTGAGGGACTCTCAGAACATGAGAAACAAAACTATACCATCCATACAGTGAAGCATGGTGGTGGCAGCATCATGCTGTGGTGATGTTTTTCAGCAGCAGGAACTGGGAGACTAGTCAGGATCGAAGGAAAGATGAATGCAGCAATGTACAGAGACCTCCTTGATGAAAACCTGTTCCAGAGCACTCTGGACCTTAGACTTGGGTGACGTTTCATCTTTCAACAGGACAACGATCCTAAGCACACAGCCCACATAACAAAGGAATGGCTACGGACCAATTCTGTGAATGTGGCTGTGCACCGACACTCCCCATCCAACCTGATGGAGCTTGAGAGGTACTACAAAGAAGAATGGGAGACATTGCTCAAAAATAGGTGTGCCAAGCTTGTAGCATCATACTCAAAACGATTTGAGGCTGTATTTGATGCTAAAGGTGCTTCAACAAAGTATTGAGCAAAGGCTGTGAATACTTATGTACATCTTTCCCATTGTCATTATGGGGTATTGTTTGTAGAATGTTGAGGGAAAAAAATGAATTTAATCCATTTTGGAAAATGGCTGTAACATAACAAAATGTGGCAAAAGTTAAGCGCTTTGAATACATATATATACATACATATATATACACACACATACATACACACACATACATACATACACACACACACACACACACACACACACACACACACACTATTGCCAAAAATATTGGGAAACTCCTCCAAATCATTGGATTCAGGTGTTCCAATCACCTTCATGGCCACAGGTGAATAAAATAAAGCAGCTAGGCACACAGACTGCTTCTACAAACATTTGTGAAAGAATGGGTCGCTCTCAGGAGCTCAGTGAATTCAAGCATGGTACTGTGATAGGTTGCTACCTGTGCAAAAAGTCCATCCATGACATTTCCTTGCTACTAAATATTCCACGGGCAACTGTTAGTGGTATTATAACAAAGTGGAAGCAATTGGAAACAACAACAACTCAGCCACGAAGTGGTAGGCCACGTAAAATGACAGAGCATGGTCAGCGCATGCTGAAGAGCATAGTGCGCAGAAGTCGCCAACTGTCTGCAGAGTCAATAGCTAAAGACCTCCAAGCTTCGTGTGGCCTTCAGATTAGCATAACAACAGTGCATAGAGAGCTTCATGGAATGGGTTTCCATGACAAAGCAGCTGCATCCAAGCCTTAGATCAGCAAGTGCAATGCAAAGCGTCAGATGCAGTGGTGTAAAGCATGCCACCACTGGACTCTAGTGCAGTGGAGACGTGTTCTCTGAAGTGACCAATCGCACTTCTCTCTCTGGCAATCCGATGGACGTGTCTGGGTTTGGCGGTTGCCAGAATGGTACTTGCCTGACCGCATTGTGCCAAGTGTAGTTTGGTGCAGGTGGGGTTTATGGTGTGGGTTTTTTTTTTTTTTGTTTTTTTTTTTAGGGATTAGGCTTGGCCCCTTAGTTCCAGTGAAGGGAACTCTTAAGGCGTCAGCATACCAAGACATTTTGGACAATTTCATGCTCCAAACTTTGTGGGAACAGTTTGGGGATGGCTCCTTCCTGTTCCAACATGACTGCGCACCAGTGCACAAAGCAAGCTCCATCAAGACATGGATGAATGAGTTTTGGGTGGAGGAACTTGACTGGCCTGCATAAAGTCCTCACCTCGACCTGATAGAACAACTTTGAGATGAATTAGAGCGGAGACTGCGAGCCAGGCCTTCTCATCTGATATAAGTGCCTGACCTCACAAATGCGCTTCTGCAAGAATGGCCAAACATTCCCATAGACACACTCCTAAACCTTGTGGAAAGTCTTCCCAGAAGACTTGAAGCTGTTATAGCTGCAAAGGGTAGGCCAACTCAATAATGAACCCTACGGACTAAGACTGGGATGCCACTGAAGTTCATGTGCGTGGAAAGGCAGGCGTCCAAAAACCTTTGGCAATACTGTGTGTGTGTATGTATATGTGTGTATATATACACAGGTGAAACTCGAAAAATTAGAATATCGTGCACAAGTTAATTTATTTCAGTAATGCAACTTAAAAGGTGAAACTAATATATGAGATAGACTCATTACATGCAAAGCAAGATAGTCCAAGCTGTGATTTGTCATAATTGTGATGATTATGGCTTACAGCTCATGAAAACCCCAAATCCACAATCTCAAAAAATTAGAATATTACATCCATCAATAAAACAAGGATTGTACATAGAACAATATCAGTCCTCTGAAAAGTATAAGCATGCATATGTACTCAGTACTTGGTTTGGGCCCCTTTTGCAGCAGTTACTGCCTCAATGCGGCGTGGCATGGAAGCTATCAGCCTGTGGCACTGCTGAGGTGTTATGGAAGGCCAGGATGCTTCAATAGCGGCCTTCATCTCTTCTGCATTGTTCGGTCTCATGTCTCTCATCTTTCTCTTGGCAATGCCCCATAGATTCCCTATGGGGTTCAGGTCAGGCGAGTTTGCTGGCCAATCAAGCACAGTATTCCCACGGTCATTGAACCAGGTTTTGGTGCTTTTGTCAGTGTGGGCAGGTGCCAAGTCCTGCTGGAAAATGAAGTCAGCATCCCCATAAAGCTCATCTGTGGAAGGAAGCATGAAGTGCTCCAACATCTCCAGGTAGACGGCTGCATTGACCCTGGACTTAATGAAGCACAGTGGACCAACACCAGAAGATGACATGGCTCCCCATATCAACACAGACTGTGGAAACTTCACACTAGACTTCAAGCATCTTGCAGAGTGTGCCTCTCCATTCTTCCTCCATACTCTGGGTCCTTGGTTTCCAAATGAGATGCAAAAGTTGCTCTCATCAGAAAAGAGGACTTTGGACCACTGAGCAACAGACCAGGTCTGTTTTTCTTTAGCCCAGGTAAGACGCTTCTGACGTTGTTTGTTATTCAGGAGCGGCTTGACAATAGGAATACAACATTTGAAGCCCGTGTCCAGGATTCGTCTGTGTGTGGTGGCTCTTGATGCACTGACTCCAGCCTCAGTTCACTCCTTGTGAAAGTACCCAACACTTTTGAATGGCCTTTTCCTGACAATCCTCTCCAGGCTGTGGTCATCCCTGCTGCTTGTGCACCTTTTTCTTCCACACTTTTCCCTTCCACAGAACTCTCTATTAATGTGCTTAGATACAGCACTTTGGGAACATCCATCTTCTTTTGCAATTACCTTTTGAGGCTTTCCGTCCTTATGGAAGGTGTCAATGATGGTTTTCTGTACAACTGTCAGGTCAGCAGTCTTTCCCATGATTGTGATTCCTACTGAACCAGACTGAGAGACCATTAAAAGGCTCAGGAACCCTTTGCAGGTGTTATGGCTTAATTAGCTGATTAGAGTGGGACACTTTGAGCCCAGAATATTGCACCTTTTCACAATATTCTAATTTTCTGAGATTGTGGATTTGGGGTTTTCATGAGCTGTAAGCCATAATCATCACATTTATGACAAATCACAGCTTGAACTATCTTGCTTTACATGTAATGAGTCTATCTCATTAGTTTCACCTTTTAAGTTGCATTACTGAAATAAATGAACTTTTGCACGATATTCAAATTTTTTGAGTTTCACCTGTATGAAGGAAATAAGTATTTGCTCCCCTGCTGATTTTGAATGTTTGCCCACTCACAAAGAAATTATCAGTATAAAAATCGAATGGTAGGTGTATTGTAACACTGAGAGACAGAAGAGCAACACAAAAGTCAAAAGAAATGCATGTCTAACAAATTATGCACTGATTTGCATGTTCATGAGGGAAATAAGTATTTGATTCCCTATCATTCAGCAGGATTTCTGGCTACCAGGCTTCTTTCATACAGGTAACAAGCTGAGATTAGAGCAGTCTCTTAAAGGGAGTGCTGCTAATCTCATTTTACTACCTGTATAAAAGACATCTGTCCACAGGAGCAATCAAACAATCAGATTTCAAACTCTCCACCATGGCAAAGACCAAAGAGCTGTCCAAGGATGTCAGGAACAAGATTGTAGACCTACACAAGGCTAGACTGGTCTACCAAACTATCGCCAAGCAGCTTGGTGAGAAGGTGACAACAGTTGGTGCAATCATTCGCAAATAGAAGAAACACAAAACAGCTGTCAGTCTCCCTAGGTCTGCTGCACCATGCAAGATCTCACCTCGTGGAATGTCAATGATCACGAGAACAGTGAGGAATCTTCCCAGAACTACACGTGAGGATCTTGTCAATAATCTCCAGGCAGCTGGGACCACAGTCACCAAGAAAACAATTGGTAACACACTTCGCCGACATGGATTTAAATCCTGCAGTGTCTGCAAGGTCCCTCTGCTCAAGAAAGCACATGTCCAGGCCCGTCTGAAGTTTGCCACTGAACATCTGAATGATGCAGAGGAGGACTGGTTGAAAGTGTTGTGGTCAGATAAGACCAAAATCAAGCTCTTTGGCATCAACTCAACTTGCCTTGTTTGGAGGAGGAGGAATGCTGCCTATGACCCCAAGAACACCATCCCAACTGTCAAACATGGTGGTGGAAACATTCTGCTTTGGGGGTGTTTGATGCGGTGCCGTTGTCATGTCCCCTTAGCAAAAAAAGGGATGATGGACGGGGCAATGTACCATCAAACCTTGAGAGAGAACCTTCTTTCCTCCGCCAGGGCATTGAAAATGGGTCGCGGATGGGTGTTCCAGCATGACAATGACCCAAAACACACAGCCAAGGCAACAAAGGAGTGGCTCAAGAAGAAGCACATTAAGGTCCTGGAGTGGCCTAACCAGTCTCCAGACCTTTATCTGATTGAAAATCTGTGGAGGGAGCTGAAAGTTCAAGTTGCCAAATGTCAGCAGCCAATCCTAAGGACTAGGAGAGGATCAGCCAAGAGGAGTGGGCCAACATCCCTCCTGAAATGTGTGCAAACCTGTTGGCCAACTACAGGAAACGTGTGACCTCTCTGATTGCCAACAAGGGATTTCCTGCCAAGTACTAAGTCATGTTTTGTGAAGGGGATCAAATACTTATTTCCCTCATGAACATGCAAATCAGTGCATAATTTGTTAGACATGCATTTCTTTTGACTTTTTTGTTGATATTCTGTCTCTCAGTATTACAATACACCTACCATTCGATTTGTAGACTGATCATTTCTTTGTGAGTGGGCCAACATTCAAAATCAGCAGGGGATCAAATACTTATTTCCTTCACTGTATATAATTTTTTTCCCTGCACTGCATCTGAGCACCACAAGCCCAATATGCTGCTTAATTCATTGTTAATATTCAAAGAAAACTCACCCATCCATTCATGTCTCCATGCTTTATTTTGTTGTGAAATCACTTTGAAAAAAACACCACCTAGCATTCACCTAGCATTCAAGTGGCCATCTTGAGTAAGAGCAGATGATTCATGTAGCATTTACTTTCTGGAATCCATCTTAATCATAATATTGTGACTGCATTATTTTTTTTTTTCAGGCCTAGTAAACTTTATGCAAGTACAGAAAAAAAATCTTGCTGATTCTGCCAAAAAAACCCTGTCCTTTTGCACTAAACTAATCCCAAACAATGGTATCAGCATTCCCTCTGCTCTTATATGGACTAGAAAATGCCTATCCCTGTGTAATGCAGATGAGGAGGAGAGCTTGTAGTTCTGATAAGGAGAGCAGTCTACAGTGATAGTGCTAAGTGAACATTGTTTCCTAGGACAGGATTTGTGTTACTGCCAAGTACTGTATTATTCCCAGTTAAAAATAAAGGAATATAGCCTGAAGAGATAAAAAATAATGCAGTTACCACTACTAAGGACTGACAAGCTGCAATATGTTCGATTTTTTGTTGTTGAGTTGAGATACACCTTACACACTTTAAAATAATATAGCACATACAAACAAACTAGCGACAACTGAAAAAGACAAAGTGGTCAACTGAGTTTGCTCCTTTCTGATTTTTTTTTTTCCATATTTTAACCTTTTCCTGCCCCCCACCCCCCCAAGTACACTGTAAATTTATGTTTGTTCCAAGAATGTTTCAATGAAAAGTAATTCAAAATTTAATGCAATTAAATAGAACATGTTTTCCAGACACTGCCCTACAATCCATTAGGAAACAGTCCATGTGAAATGTTTGCAATGTGATCTATCAAGGATTTGCTCCTCACACTCAGAACGCGGACCATTCACAGAACACCTTGCATTTTTCTCAATGAATTGAAGGCACCACAACCTCCACCTCACCCAATTAGAGAATACCCCACATTCAAGTATGTAAGTAAGCCACATGTGTAACTAGTTAGCTTTTATTTATCACTCAAAAAAAAAAAATTGAAACATGCTCTACCTGACCTTCTGAAAATGCTAACTGACTGCCAGTTTAACACTCTGGTACTGATGTAGAAAAAGAAAATACTTACGTATTTCTGGTTCAGGATCCTGAGACTCTATGTATGGAGAATAATCAAAACCATCACCTGGATCTCCATTGCAAAAATACTGGTTGAGGAAAGACAAACACCAATTAAATTTGACCCACATATTCACAAAAGTTACAGCTTAAGACCTAACCTAGTTTTGTCATTATTTGTTCATCTTATCTAACTTTTGTGTACGATTTATAAGAGCAAGTTGGATTGCAAACCCATAACTTGTATTTATGCAAAATATACATATAAGTAAACAAACTACGATACTTTCGGTCAAGTACTTGCCAATACTTTACAACACATATTTAGCAGATTACACCTTAAGACTGCCATCATGTTCAAAACAAAGTGCAAAGTCAGAACCTTCAATGCTCCAATACATTCCAATTTATGATGATCATATAGGAAATAATAGGAAATTCTTCAATCTCAAAAGTCTCTTTCGTACATGTAGATATAAAGGTAAAGTGGTATTAAATCCAAAAGCAAACATTTATTATTTTGCAGTTACCAATTTTTAAATGGCTGCATTCATTTTCTTTTCAAGGCTTTCTTTATTTTATTTTTGTCTGGTGATCCTGCCAGTAAGTCTGTTGTTTTTCAACAGAACAAGCTGTGGTCGAGTCTTGCAGGTGTAGCAGTTAGAGGGAAGAGGCAAACCATTTACTACTGTCAGGGGGTGCTTACAAATGATCAGCTTTTATTAGTTTATGTAAAACCTTTATCCCAAAAGGAAAAAAACATGTTGCTGTAATGGTTTAAAAAGTGTTAGCTGGAGTTTGGTTTCAAGTTGTTTAGCGTATCTAAATCTGCTAGTACATCTAAGGTCTCATGTACACTGCTGCTTCTAAACGTGAATTTCTGAGTTTTTGGCATTTTTTTGCCAAAGCCCCTGAACTCAACTCAATAAAAGCCTGTGTGTACACACAGGATTTTACCAGAGGTTAAGAGCAGCAGAGTTTAGGGGCAGTTAAACTTTCCTCTTCTGAAAGCACAAGAATTACGGCAAAATTGCGTGCAAACGAATCTAAACGCTAGCTGCGTTTAGCACTTGAGCGCTTATTCTTGTCAAGGGAAAATACTCTGGCCAATCAAATGAAAAAACATCCAAGCGCTAAACACAGAGTACTGCGTTTAAACTCACTGTGTTTAGCGTTTTTCTGCTGCCAGGAGAGCTAAATGTCTAGGGAAGTTCATGTGTACATGAGCCCTAACACTCCCCTCCGTCCAGATTAACAATGCTGTTGTCCAAAGGTGTCTCTATTGCTCCTTTATCCAGAGTGGAGGCACTCCAATACAGGAGGTGTGTTACTGGCCAGATGGTGAAAACGAAGGGAAAAAGTCTATTAAAAAGCTAGGAAACTAATGCAGCCACCACATTTATTGATTGGTAAGCTGCAATATATTACATTTTTGTTTGTAGGTTTGCTTTGATACTCTGCTGCTGGAAGGTTTTATTATGAATTTAATATAAAATAATTTTCATTGAACTTTATTGCAAAGGTGCATGGTTGTTCTGGAGTGCCTTTCCATATGAGTAGCACATAATCAATTAAATGTTTTCAGATGACAAGGCCTGCACCAATCTCTCTGTTAATCCAAATGTTATTAGATTCCTAATATTGGGAATTGAGGACTGTAATTGGGATCAGAATAGGATTGATAAATATTCCCAGAAGACAATAAGCTACATACAGAAACCAAATATAAAATTCACCTCATTGCTGATTCCAAGGTCACACAGAAGAGGTAAATCTCGATTTGAAGAAGATAAAAGTCACTTGGTAAATGAAACAAACTTAATATAACTACAAATATTTTTTATTCTGGAGACATTGTTACTTCTCTGGCAAGTACAGGAATTTACATTATTGTTTGAAACTTTCTTGTAACAAAGAGTGTCTCGTTCAGACTTTCTCAACCTTTTTTTCCCCATGAAATAATTTTGAGGTTCCAGGGAATCCCTGATAAAATGAAGGTCAGTGGGGAAAAAATTATTCCGAATGGTTGGATGTCAGTGGGAAGCATGCCCCCTTACAGACAGATAGAAAGGTAATTGGTGTCATGCAGCTGACTCCATTGAACCCGGAACTAGGCAGGCACCATCAGATGGTCAGTCAGCCACACCTCAAGGAACCCTTAGCTACCTATTGAGGAACCACAATTGAGAATGGCTAATCTATCTGCTTTCTATTCCAGCCCAGCAGTTGCCATCACAGTGCTACTGAAGCAATCCCTGGCTATATATATATATATATACATATATATATATATATATATATATATATATATATATATATATATATATATATATATTTATTTATATTTATTTTTTTTTCAGCATGAGTTTTTTTGAAAAGTAAGAACTTAAGCATTATCTCAGTGACACGAACAATTTCCAAAATTTTAAAATATAAATGAGTTTTATAGAACAATGGTTTGGCTCATTACATGAAAGGAAGGTTAATAAACATAACTTAGATTACAAAATCTTCACTTTTATGCAAATCGTTTGATGCAAAATAAATACACCCCACAACAAAAACTAGTACATCTAGTATTTTGTATGACCTCCATGATTTCTAAGGACAGCACCAAGTCTTCTAGGCATGGAATGAACAGGTTGACGACATATTGCAACATCTTTTTCCATTCTTCAAGAACAACCTCTCTTACAGCCTGGATAATGGATGGAGAGTAATGCTCAACTTTGCTCCCCATAGGTGTTCAATTGGGTTCAGACCTGGAGACTTTCACCCTGTTCTTCTGAATCATTTTCACCCGGTTCTTCTTCAGAAATGCAAATTGCCTTAGATGTGAGTTTTGGATCATTGTCATGTTGGAAAAGTGCAGGATGATCAAGGGCACGGAGTGATAGTAGCATCTTCTCTTTCAATATAGAGCAGTACATCTGTAAATTCATAATGCCATCAATGACATGCAGCTCCCTGACATCAGCAGAACTCATGCAGCCCCACAGTAGGACACTGCCACAACCTGGTTCACTGTAGGCACTAGGCATTTTTCTTTCTACTCCTCACCTTTGTGACGCCATACAGTTTTGAAACCATCAGTTCCAAAAACATTTATCTTGGTCTCATCACTCCAGAGTACAGAGTCCCAGTAGGCTTCTTCTTGTTCAGCATGGGCATGTCAAATTTTAGGTGGGCTTTTTTGCGCATGGGCTTTAGGAGAGGCTTCCTTTGTGGACAACACCCATGCATGCCATTCCTCTGCATTGTACGCTGTATTGTGTCACAGGAAACAATCACTCCAGTTTGGCATTCTACTTCTTTAGCCAACTGCAGTGAACTTGTATGGAGATTTTTTTCAACCCTTCTCATCAGAAGACGCTCCTGTCAAGGTGTTAACTTTAGTGCATGGCCTGGACATCTCTATGATATGGTTGCAGTTCCAACTTTGTTAAATTTTTGTATCACTTTTGCTACAGTATTCTGACTGATAAGTAAAGCTTTGCTGATCTTCTTGTAACCTTCACCTTTCCCGTGTAAAGAAATTATTTTCTCTTTCTCAGGCCTTGTGACACCCTTTTATAATCAACTTTCTGCTGGACATCTGTTTAACCTCTTGCCTACCAGGCACTTTTACCTACTTCCTGCCCGGGCCAATTTTCAGCTTTCAGCGCTGTTGCACTTTGAATGACAATTGCGCAGTCATGCAACACTGTACACAAACAAAATTTTTATTTTGAGACAGATAGAGCTTTGATTGAAAATCATACGATTCTGTTATAAAGTTTTGTAAATAAGTAATTTTTCTCCTTCACTGATGTACACTAATGAGGCTGCAGTGATGGGCATGGACAGGCATCACTGATGGGCACTGAAAAGCAGTTGCAGGTAGCACTGATTGGAACTGTTAGGTGGCACTGATAGGCAGCTCTGATGGGCATTGATAGGCGGCACTGACTGGCACTGTTAGGTGGCACTGAAATGCAGCTCTGATGGGCACTGATATGTGGCATTGATGTGAACTGGTAGGCATTGATGGGCACTGACCTGCACTGGTATGTGGCATTGATGGGCACTGACAGATAACACTAATGGGGCTACACTAATCATCAGTGCCTTGATGATCGGTGTAGATGTCCGCTCTGAGTAATGCCGATTACCGGCTCTCCTCATGAGCTGTCAGTGGGAGGAGAGGACTGCCGATAACCGGCATTTGCCATTTACATGTGATCAGCTGTGATTGGACACAGCTGATCACATGACAGAGCTGACGTCATCGGCTCTTTACAGTGATCGATGATCCGCCGTGTCCCAGGAACACAGCGCACTGCCGATCACCCCCATGTGCAGTTACAGTGGAAGGATGTTATATGACGTCCTCCCAGAACGAGAGAACAGCCGCCCTCCAGTCATTACCTTATATGGCAGGCGGGAGGCAGTTAATCAATAATTAGACTCACCTGTAGTTGAATTCTTGTTAATTAGGATTTTATTGTCTAAAATTTAGCTTTGCTCCTAAAACTTTCATTGGGGTGTATTCATTTTTGCAACATGGTCTTGAATTAATCTGTTGGGAAAAATACTTTTTTGTGTGTGCAAATTAATAAATCTTGTTTGCAATCAATGGTATTTGTGGGAGTATTTTGTAGTATAGTGTCCCATAGAAAATGTTGATTCTGAAAAGAAAGTAAAGGTTTTCTGACAAATCTGTTGGGGTGTACTCATTTAGGCTAAGCACTGTATATGTGCGTGTATTTATATTTATATATATATATATATATATATATATATATATATATATATATATATATATTTATTTATATTTATTTTTTTAATTTAAATTAGGATTCATCAGTGATTGATGAATTATGAAAGTACCAAGGATATCAATCATAAGGACTGCTCTGTTCTACTTGTGTTATCCTGGTTAGTACTCAAAAACAAGTTCAAGAGTGAAGCAGCAGAGACTAAAAGAAAAAAAAAAAAAAAAAAAAAAAAAAGAATATGATGTGGGATTAGTATCTCAGGCCACAAAAGTTATTTCCTATAGCAAATCTGAAACTAAACAGAGCCTTTTTCCATGTATTTCTCTGAGGTCAAAAAAAAAAAAAAAAATTATTTATATATATATATATATATA